ATGAATAAATATATATATATATATATGAATAAATATATATATGTGTAAATTTATATGTAAATATATATATATGCCAACCAATCACGAGCGACTTTACTTGTTTAAAAAGAAGTGGTTCCGTCCAATACTCAGTAAGAAAATTAAAGCCTGGCGTGGCCACGTGTGGTTTTGCTGCCAATCACGAGCGATTTTACTTGTTTGAGAATAGTGGTTTCAGCCAATACTGAGTAGGTTATTCAAGCCAGACTTGGCCAGCCGCGCGGGTTTGCTGTATTCATATGCTAATTAGGGCCATTAGTACAGCTGATCGCTCTCCACATACGTCACGGTACGTTTCCGACAATTTGTGGCACGACAAACGCGGACAAGCACGGGTTGCAAATTGTCGGAAACTGACGAAAATCAGGCAGATCTGCGGGAGTTTACGGGGGTTTGGGGGGACGAAAATCTCACTTTTCATGCAGTGTCAAGTACTGTCATTAGTCTAGGGAGTGTCTGATTTGGTTGTGTTAAGAATATCAACACGTCATCGGCGAATAGGGCCAGTTTTTGTTCCCCTGCTGTCATTGTAACCCCACTAATATCAGATCTTTGTCGTATCCACTGACCCAGGGGTTCTAGAAATAAGGCAAAGAGGAGTGGAGAGGCGCCACAGCCCTGTCGGGATCCTCTCTGTAGAGTAAAACTGTTAGTCAAATCCCCATTTACTTTGATCTTGGCCGTAGGCTTGCCGTACAGTGCGGCAAAAGTATCAACTATGTTTGAATGGAAGCCAAATTTTGATAAAACTTTATATAAAAAGGCCCACCGTACCGAGTCAAAGGCTTTTTCAGCGTCTAGGCTTAAGATCAAAGTTTCCAATTTATGCTGACTAACATGCTTCATAATATGCAGGGTTTTTCGAATATTGTCTTGGGTTTGCCTTTGTCTAATAAACCCTGTCTGGTCTTTGTTAATGAGGTCTGGCAGTATTAGTTCCAATCTTTTAGATAAAATGGAGGTGAACAATTTATAATCGATATTTAAAACACTGATTGGCCTATAATTACTACACTCTAATTTATCTCTATTCTCCTTTGGAATTATAGAAATGATGGCCTCACTCCACGAAGAGGGAATCACCTTTTTCTCCATTACCCAGTTAAATGCTCTCAGTAATGTCGGCACCAGTTCCTCCTGCATACTTTTATACCATTCTGAATTGTAACCGTCTGCGCCGTGGGATTTACCTGTTTTTAGTCTTTTTATAGCTGATAAAACCTCCTCTTCAGTAATTTTGGATATCAATCTTTCATTTTGAGCATCCGTGACACTTGGTAGATTTAGTGAAGACAGAAAAGTATCAATTTGGTTAATCTCACTTAATTGCGGCTGGGAATACAATTTCTCATAGTACTCCTCAAAACACTGTTTTATTTTCTCCGGGTCGGTTTCTACTTGATTTGTCAATGGATTTCTAATTTTGTGTATTGTCCTCTCTGCTTGCTGTTTTCTTAACCTGTAGGAGAGTAGCTTCAATGCTTTCCCCCCTGTATCATAGTACTGCTGCTTTGTAAAAAGCAGTTTCTTTTGGATTTCTTGTGTATTTATTTCATTAATTTCATTCCTTACTTCTGCTATTTTTGTTTTGATTGTATCATGTAGTGATTTGAAATGCTCTTTCTGTAGCCGCCTAAGTTTTTCTTCTAGATCCTTCAGTTTCTGATTTTTAAGTTTCTTTACCATGGCAGAAATAGCTATTATTTTACCTCGGATTACTGCTTTTAAAGCATCCCACAGCACAGTCGGTGAAACCTCTTCATTGTCATTAAACTCTAGGTACGATCTAATTTCAAGTTTTAGTTTTTCCTTAATTACACTGTCTTTTAAAATATTTTCGTTTAACCTCCAAAGAGTAGATCTTGTCTTATTAACCAACTGAAGTGATAAATAGACGGGATTGTGGTCTGAGAGTGTACTAGTGCCGACATCACAGTTAATAGCTCTAAAAATATTGTTTTTAAACATGAAGAAATAGTCAATGCGTGAATATACATTATGGGCAGTGGAGTAATGTGTATAGTCTCGGCTTGTTGGATTAATTTCCCTCCATACGTCAACAATTCCCATTTCTTTCATTAAGATATTTATTCTTTTACTAATATTTTTAGCATCAGATTTCCCATTGGATGAATCAATTTTTGGAGTAGCCTAATATTGAAGTCTCCCCCACATATTACAATACCTTGACATTTTGTAGTCATTATGTCAAAGACATGTTTGTAAAATGACCAGTCACTGCCTGGAGGTACGTAAACATTGAAAAGACTTACTAGAACACCATGGATTTTCCCAATTATCATAACATATCTCCCTTCGCTATCCTTGTATTCAGATATATATTCAAAATCTACCGCACTGGACAACAAGATCGCCACCCCCCTTCGCCTTCCAGAGCTATGGGAAGAGAAATAGACTGTTTTAAATCCCATTTTATTTAGTTTAGCATGTTCAATATTATCAAGATGTGATTCCTGGATGAATGCTATCTGGACTTTATCCCTTTGTAACTGAGACAACATTTTCCAACGTTTGATTGGGTTGAGTACACCATTTATATTAAGTGAGACAAATCTTATCGGCCTGTCTTGCATGTAAATATATAACTAAGTTGACAACTTAATAAACAATGTGGCAAGCTTCCCCATCTCTGCACACAACAGCAGAGGATGAACAAAGAAATGGGTAAAACACCCAAACAAAACATAACCTTAACAAACAAATAACAACAGAACACCAAAATGTGACTCCCTGTGCAGGGGTCTGATCTATAGACCCTAATTACCCTGATGGGCGCTAAAGCATAAGCCCTCCTCCTGTATCGGTGAAGGTGGTGCTTGGTGGTTACAACCGTATATTGAAGTTAACCCTCAAAACCCCTATAAGAAAGTTCACAGTTTACTCACCCACTCTCCTTTTATCATTACCCATATTTAAAACGAAGGTTAATTGCAATAAAGAAAATTAAAATAAACCAAAGCCCAAGTCCTCACTCCACAGAAGAACCTGGTGAAGGCCGCCTGAATGCACGAAGCTTCTCCTTGTAACTTGCGTCTTTGACGGGATCAGGCGCGCTCCTGGTTGTGGACCGGTCCGCTCTCGTCCAAGTCAACTGCTTTATCCGCTCCATGAGAGAATCCGGTGCTTTCGTAGTTTTAACAGCGTACCCTCTCCTCCTCAGGTCATCCACCGCATCTGCCGCAGAGTCATACACTTTGATCTCGTCTGTGTATTTTACCCGCAGCCTGGCAGGAAATAGGGTCTGAAACTGGACTTGATTCTCTTTCAAAACCCTGCGGACCCCAGCGTATTCTCTTCGTTTATTAATAATGCGCAATGGGTAGTCGTGGTCCAGGTTTACTTGTTTGTCCATCCATTTAAACCCCTTCATCTGCCAAGCTTTGCGGAGCAGAGAGTCTTTGGACTTAAAACTCACGAACTTCACTATGATGGAGCGTGGCGGTGCCCCCGCCGGTGGCCGCGGTCCGAGGGAGCGGTGCGCCCTTTCAATATGAAGATCCGGCACCTCCTCCTCGGATAACTGTAGACCCTCACGTAGTAGCTTTTCTACGAATGATGCCATAGTTGAGTCCTTTTCCGCGCCCTCGCACACGCCGTATATCCTTATATTGTCTTGTCTGGAGCGGCTCTCCAAGTCTGTTAGCTTATCTTCTAGCTTCATATGTAGCTTTAACATCTCCGTCACTACGTCTTCTGTAGTTTGGATCCGCTCCTCGGCTTGTTCTAATCGGTTCTCTGCTTCGTCCAGTCTTGTGTTTATTTTGGAAATCTCGTCTTTAATAGTCTCTAGTTTTTCGTTGTTTTCCTGCCGAAATCCTCGGAGTTCCCGGAGGATTACATCTAGATCAGCCATGGCTTTAATCTCGGCGAGCAAGATGCTAACGAGGTGCTAGTTAGCTTTAGCTGCGGCTACCGGGCTTAAACAGTATATTTATCTTCCAACCTCCAAATAAGTTGTATAGGGCGAGCTGTGCCCCCTTTGTATTAACAATCTTGAAATAATACTTCTTCTGAAATGGGGCTTTAGGTGAATTCGCTGGGGTTTTGACGGGAGCCCTCCTAACGTGCTGCCATCTTGGCGATGTTCCGGCCGGAAGTCAATTTTTATTTAATTCTATCATAAATTATAGTTGCTACTTTATTTACACAAGTTACTCTCAATCCTTCACACTACTATAAATCCTTGTTTACTCGTTATTTCCTTTTCCCACTTTTTTTCTTAATCTTTAAAAGGGTAAGTAGCAAAAAAGTTTTGTCTTTTTTTCCCTCCAGATGACCCTAATATTATGTCATAGGTTTCCCATAACATTCAGAAAGTTATTTACAGACATTTACGGGGCCTCTATAATGTTTGTCTTTAAAGCTATCAATTTTATCTTGGTCTAACAGTGTTGCCGATTGACTCCCTTCCCAGAATACATTTTCTTCATAGATGTCCAGCTTTTCTCTATTTAGCACCCTCCATTTATAACTTCAGTTACGGCCAATTAGGCAGCTCATGTGTAACTTTCCCCTCAGCAGGATGCTACTACAATCAGGATTCACAGTAGGGACGGCAGTCCTGTTATAATGGGTTTCTACAACATGTGGCTTTAACATGCTTGCCTCAAATTCATTCAATTCAATTATTATTCAATTAAAAATAAACATCTTTTCATTTGATCAGAAAAATGTGATTTTAATCAGAGCCGTGACAAACATTTTGTTAATTCTTTGACAAAGTCTAGCATACAAGCTGCAAAAAACTATGAGTATTCTTAATCCTCTCCTAAACAGAGAGAAAAAATATCATTTACTTTACAAATCACATGAAATAACCTCTGAGCTATCCAGAAAGAAGTTTTTGGGCTGCAAGAAAAAGTGGGTAAGGATGGGTGGATGAATTTTAACACTCAGTAATGATCAGATGAAGGTTTGACTTCTCCTTCTTCTCACTGCAGATGAGGGGTGCCCTCCAGACTGGGACGGTCTTATTTGTTGGCCCCATGGCTCCCCTGGGCAGGTTACAAAGGTCCCCTGCCCATCTTACATCTATGACTTCAATCATAAAGGTTAACAGCCTTTTTCTTTATACTTTCGGCAGGAATTAGTCGAAATGTGAAAAACAGAATGCATAGATAAATATAGAAGCCTTTTTGTGTTTATATTTGTGTTTATATTGTACCAAAATATATCTTAAAATAAGAAACCCAGGGGTGTTAGATAAGATTGACGTTTTGTTCTTTTCTTTATTTCTTTTTTTATTTATCTCTGTCTATAAAGGTGAAGAAATTATTTTAAACAAAAAGAACAAAATTGTATTAAGCTCAGAAAATTGGATTCAGTAAAAGTCCTTTGAAGACAATTACTCTATTTTTTGGACACGCTGTGTTTGACAAAGCAGAGTGCTGCAATGGCAAGTAAGAAGCAACCATCAATAGGGTCTCTTTCACACTGTTGAGTCATGAGCAATCAATTTAATTTGGAAAATAGGAATTGAGTGATTAAGATGATAAGATCTTTACGTTGATTTTTTAAATAATGATTTAAAGCAATTTATGCTATTAGCACTTTTTTTCTGGGAGCTTTTCCATGTTAGTTTTATGCTTATCCCCTTTGGACTTCTTTTTTAGTTTCCTTTTGAGTTTTCAGTTATTTATGTCATTCTGTTTTCTTAGTCATTGGTTTCTTTTCCATTTTGCGTCAGTGATGTGTTTTTTGTGTTGCTCTCTGTTGCCCCCTTGTGCCAGTCTCCTCCCCCCTAGTTTCTAGTTGCTTCGATCCACACCTGCTCCCTGTTAGCTGATTAGCCCAGTCTTTGTTCTGTCTCCCATATACACACCTCCTGTGCAGTTTTGTGCTGGTTCCTCGTCATCATTTGGCTCCTCTTGTGTGTTTTCCCCTGAGATCTCCTGGTTTTTGGTTTCCTGTATTTTGTTATTGGATTTTCTCTCTGTTGCCTTTTTTTTAATTCAGTGGGATCCGCTTACTGTGTTCACGTTGGTCCAGAGCCAATTTGAACACTATAAGCGGTTGATTACTAAAACCGAATTTACCCTTATTTCACTTCTTTTTTTATGCAGAATATGATCTAAATTCCATTTGTATGGTTTTCAATGACAAAAATGAAATGAAACGATAGCTTCAGAATTTACTGAATTTTATTACTGTACCATGCAAGTTTAATCACTGTATTCTGTGCTGTGCACAGATAACTCTAGTAGTCTACGTAACTTATTATGTACTTATTCTGGCTCTGCTGTGCTGCTGGTGCATTTTTATAACATGTCTGAAAATAAAGTTGGAAAAAAACTGTTTCCTAGAACAACAACATTGAATGTAACTGCAAAGGTTACAGAAAAATAAAGCTAGCCTACCTCTGTTTTGTGTTGCGGATCTGCTGCACCGCATTAAGAAATCACTTAACCTAACCCATCCATGGTTCCCTGGATCAGAGTGTTGTCCAACACCAAGTTCACTTCTTTTTCAAAACGATGTAAAAGGTAAAAGTTTTTGAAACCAACATGCAGGAGACCAGTCTTCAAAATGCAAACTGCATTCCTCATCTCAGTTCTGGAAAGGACAACTGTCTTCTTTTCTTCATCCTCCCCCTCCTCTCCCTCCTCTCTGCGCGCAGCACTGGTACCCTCTTGTACATCCGAGATGTACACGTAATTTTAATATTATTTTTGCACATGTTTACATTCATAAAATGGCCAAAAATGAAAGCTATAAGCAGATTTCTTGATTACTATAAACAAATTATTTAAAAAGCATTTGTATAGAAATGATTCTGTCCCAACCCTTTTGAACTATATAAGTGGTGGATTACTATATCCGTGACCACTATAAGCGGATTCCACTGTAAATCAGCGAAAACTCATCATTTTACTCTGCATTTGGGCCACAACCGCATCCACCATCTTTGACTGTTAGGGGTGCATACAAACTAAACTCTGCTTCTTGATGTTTGGTTCTGAATCTGGGGATGCAAAATTAGACTTGAGTCAGAGGACCTTAGAGGTCTGGGCAGTATATTAACTGACTACAAGTCTATGACATATTTTAGTTCTTAGCCATTTGGTAATATCTAGACTAACAGAGGAATTTTGATCTCTATTCTCTCAGAGAGGGGGAGCCAGTGTAATAAATGTAGCTCTGGGGTCATTTGCTCCACTTTCTTTATTTTGGTGAGAATGCTGGCAGCAGTGTTTTGAATCAGCTATCAAACTTTTTAGTCAAACCCGTAAAGACGCTTTTGCATTAATCAATTCTTGTAAAACTAAAAGTATGAGTGGATTTTTCTAGATCCTGCCTGGACATTTGTCCTTTAATCCGGGAAATGTTCTTCAGGGGTGATAAAAAGCCGACTTTGTTACTGTCTTCTCTAAAGGGTCGGGTTTATATAAGTCCAGAATTACAGCATGATTGGTGGTTTCTAGCTATAATTAATCTACTTAATACTTGTAAAAGCTTTGGGTTTTCAGGCCTGAAAATGCAGTAATTTCATGCTCTTATGCGTATTTCTCTTTGAAGACCTCATAATTTCCTCTAATTATTGAAGATCATTTTTGCTTTATTTAAAAGTTCTGCTTACAGTAAGTTAAGTAAGGCACATTTGTCTTTAGAGAGGTTCTCCATTGACGACTCAAGCTTTGTTCCACTACACACGGAAACTGCTGTGTTTCCTTTGATCCACTGAGAGATTGCAGGACATATTTTGGGATTTATTTAAAGGTTATTTTAAAGAATCTGTCTGTTTTCTATATTAAAGCTTTAGTAAGGGATTTTTCCAGAAATGTACATAGTATCACCAAGTCACTTTTTGTATAACAGTATGTGCAGGAAAATCTTTCCTGCTCTTCTACCACCATATAAAATAATCTCCCAAATACACTCTGGTCTTATATCTTCCTTCTGAGGTGTTCATCTTCAAACTTGTGAGGCAGTTTACTTCTTGTGATTCAGCCAATGTTAATGTATACTGTGAGAGCAGGGAAGCTACAATGAATGGCTAAAACCTCACTGGATCACCTCATTGGATAAAAAAACAACTTAGAAGTTCAAGAGGAATTGAGGACATCACAAAGATTGACATGTGGAAAAACCAATAGATAAAATAAAACTTGGAACTCAAAGACAAAGGAAGATTGTCTTCTCTACCTTTACTGCATGAGCATTTCTATGGTTGTTTTGTTTTGCATATACATATGTGGGGAGATCAGAATTCATGGTTTTGAGTGTGATCAGAAGATTCAGGGTATTGATATATACAGCTCACCCAGCCTGTGTTTAATCCCAAAAGCTGATGTGTTTTTACTATTTAAAAATGGTAAAATTACATATTCCTTTAACCTTTTAGAAACCTAAACCCCTTTAGCATGTAAAAGTTGTTAAAGTTATTTTCCTAAAATAAACATTCACCTTTCCCATCTGGCTTTTCAGTTTCCTGCTTGGGTCATTTTTTTAGTCCAAGCATTGTGCTCTACACTTTGTCATTCTGAATGCTATGTCCGCAAACTGCATTTCTTTTCGAGCTGCCATCAACATATGGCTGATCATGCCAATGGCCAATTAGTGTCAAACAGCAGTGCCTTCAGGCCAAATGTCAGACCCTTACTGCTTTCTTCAGCTCTTCTTCTGAAAAGGTACAAAAAACCCACAAAAATGGAGCTAGTAGAAAGGGGCATTGAAGGTCCTTGAAGTTTTTAGACTTGGTGTGAACTGTCTTTTTCACAGATGCTCTTGGAGATGTATAGCTGTGTTAAATGTTCCTTTGCATCTAGTCCGTTTTGGTCAAGTTTGTATACACCATCTTTGAATTTAGAACACTTTTACACATAATTTGCACCTAAAAAAAAAGATTTCCTTCTGGAGCCTCAGATGTTCTCCCTAGGTAATTTGCAAGAACATAACTGTTTATTATCAGGATGTGATAATAAACACTGGCTTCAAAAGATCAACCGAAGGACAACACTGACTCTGAAAAGAGAGCTACACGGCATTCTCTGCTTCTTCTACACTGCTTGACTACCTGCTGGCAGGCATGCATAATAGCTTGTGAATAAATGTGATAACAGCATCTCCACTGTCAAATCTTTTTGTAAATATGATTTTTTTTATCTTGGAAAATTTCACAGTATGTGCATTATATGTTTAGTTTTTTAAGATTGCTTGTGTCAAAGAAGGTTTTGTTTTTCACATTGACTAGTGTCACTCAGATGACCGAGGTGAGTGTAGCATCAAAACATGTAGGAGTTATTTTGATAAAACTGCTCTTTTTTCATTGCCAATAGTTTATGGAATGGTTTACCAACTTAGATTATAATCTGTTTTATTTTTAAAAGTTTGGTTCATGTGGCAAAAATTGCTATCTAGGAATCTAAGATGGTTTACACCCATAAGTGATGAGTCAATATGTGAGCAAAACAGTGACTTTACTGTGTGTGTAGGGTTATTGTTTTATGTTTTACCACAGTGATATGCAAATAATGGTTTATTGGATATGGATAGGATGTAAAGAAAAGCACTAGAAGTTACCTAAATATAGATAGTTCGTGCTGCTCTAAAGAACTTTCAGTTTTGGCCTCCTCCACAGTGGACAAAAGCTGTATTATTTTTTGCGTCAAGGAAGACCACATTTCCCAGCCGCAAAGTGGAGAACTTATGTTGTTTTACATCCTGTCCATCCATGAATTGACTTTTCCTATTTATGCTACTTCATTTATTGAAAAAATAGACACACAAACTCAAGTCAGTTCTTTCATCTTTTTTAGGTTTTGGATACTACTGAAATATAATTAATTTACATAAAACTGTAATTTGTTTACAAGTAACCAAAGTAAAAAAAGGAGTATCTGACATTGTTAAGCATATGAAAGAGACAAGCTGTTCTTTGGTCATCTTACCTACTAAACTGCTGAAAGGGGTTTTTCACACTGTTTGACTTTTCCTCCTTATTTTAATAAACACCTGTCTCAGCTCAGAAGGTGTCCCTGATTCTATTCAGCATACTGTTGTGAGACCCCTTCGTTAAAAAAAAAACACATCTTGATGCTAATTATTTGTTTAGCTTCAGACCTGTTTTGTATTTTTTGCAGTTTATTTCCAGGTTCCTTGAGAAATTTGTTTTAAAAGAAATACAAACTTTCCTCTAGAGCAACTCTGTCCTTAAAGCTGCGGTCTGTAACATTGAGAAGAGAGCAGACTTCGACTGAAAATTTGAAGAAAAACAGGTTTCACGCCACTCCCCCGCCCTCTCTGCTTCTCTGGGGGGGTTTCAGCGTGTGTGAGCTGTGATTGACACTCCATCAGACGCTCCTCTGGCTGTGATTGGTTGTTTTGACTCGTCCCGAATTATTCTTTCCAGATTGAAATACAGGCAGTAGGCGGTACCAATTGAAGCAGTTTTTTTCACAGGTTACATATCACATGTACTGCTGTCTGGGCATAGGGACAGTTTTAGCAAATATGACAAAAAAGTGATTTTTAAAAACTTACAGACTTCAGCTTTAAGTAATTTAAATCTGGCTTTAGGTTTAGGAAATGCACTGAGTATGTACTGCTAAAAGTAAACAATGACTTTGCCCTGCTGTCTTTGTGTTGCTCAACTTAATCTCTTCATTTTATACGGTGGGTGTTCCAAATTTTTTGGTCTCACCTTAGTCAATCCGTTGGTACAGTGTTCAGGAAACTGCACTGAAACGGTTTGATTCTGTTAATACTGGTTATTTAGAGGTCTTTCTGTAAAGATTTGTGATCTACCCCCCACGATTGTCTCTGTTTTGCACAGTACATTAAGGCTCCATCATGGGTGTATTATTGTTCACTCTTTACATGCTGTCACTGAGATGTATTATAGCCAGAAACAATGTAACCTTTCTACTGCTATGCAGATGATCTCCCTATGTATATCCCTGTGTATCCAAGTAAAAGAGGAGCTCTTACAACTTTAACTAACAGAATTTTAGACATTGAAACAAAGTATAGTTTAATTGGTGATTTTACCCTTTCTGATTTAAATTTTCTAACTCCTAAAACTAAAGCAGTCAACTCTAACTGGAGTTTGAGATTTGGCAACATCATCAGGGCTAAGTTTTATCAGTTAGATCTTTTGACAGAGGAAAAAAACACTTTTCAAATGGTATGATGTGGAGCTGGACTTAACAATGCCATCATGCACCTTCTTAAACAAATCCACTGGTTTCTGCTGCTGTATTGCTCTAGTTGAATTAAAGAAAAAAAATATATAATTTTATTAATCCAAATTTATGAAGTGGTTTCCATATACAGTGGTTTCCACTCACAGTATAGTAAATGGTTTTTATTATTTCTGATTTACCACAGCAATGTTCTAAGATGGATATTAAAGCCATTAGGTTTTTGTTTTTCTGAGCTAAATGAAAATTGATTTTGTTTAAAGAAAACCATTTTAACTACTTTGGTGGCCTATGGATATTGATGTCATATACAAATATATAAACATGTTTTGATCATTAATATTCACTAAGCAAAAGTAAAAAAAAATTGTGAAAATACTTAAAGTTTGCTTTAGAAATATATATATATATATTTTTACTACAATATATTAATTTTCATTGCAACCCAAATCTTTCACAATGTACAAATCTTTTATTTTGATTGTAGAAGTTATTTTGGTGATGAAATAACTTAAGTCTATGTTTTCAGGTCAGGCTTACAGGAAGTGTGATGCCAATGGATCCTGGGTGTTTGTGGAGCAGTGGAACAAAACATGGACCAACTACTCAGAGTGTCTACGGTTCCTTCATCCCCTTAGTGATGAGGAAGCAAGAGTATGTATTACTATGAAATATAAACAAAGAAAGGATTTCTGTTTATGGTGTTATGCCAAATCGTATTTATATTAAGTATGAAACACAAATTAAAAGCTGTGTGTGAAGGAACCATGTGGTAGCCTAAAGAAGGTTGCGTTAAATTTTTTTCAAGCTCCGAAGTGATTTTTTGCCACATCATTCTGACTGCATAGAGGCTCTGCGTAGTGGCACTATGGGCTGTTTTTTTTTATAGGGTGGATGTGTTGTGTCATATATGTTCTCGGATAGGTTAATCTGGGGATTGCCTTGGGCAGAAATTATGTGGAATCCCCTCTGGAATTCAGATATTTTATTTTATTTTCCCCAAAGGCGGATGTGTTTGTTTGAAACTGCATCTCTCTTCAGACTGCTTAATTGCTGCATACTCCGAAAAAAAGTAGAGCTAGGTTCTGTCTCGATTCCCCTTCCAGAAATTCTTGTTGTGTGTGTTAATCCCCATTCTCAGACTGACACAAAAATCTTTCTTTCTTGATACAGTGAACTGTTTTTACTAATCTCTGAGTTAAAATCGTTCAATCCTTCATCACAGATAGCAAAGAAGTTCTGAGTTTAGATGTAAATCCTCACTTTTATGTTTTCCCTTGTATTCTCTTTTAGGAGAAAATAATCCATACAAATGCTTCTTTCTCTCTCTGAAATTAAGTACATAGTATGATAGAAACAAATAAATTGTTCTCAGAAGCATATGAAAATTATGATCTAATCAAAACTGATGAGGCAAAAGACATAATCACAAAGACACCAGTAAACAGGCATCATGGCTTGTTTATTCATCAAACCTTGATGATCTGTGATGAACTGGAGCAGGAGTTTCTGGGAAATCAGAAATACAGCCCTGTGGACTGATAATCTGGTAACTACCACTGCTTCACAAGCAGTAAATAACATCCTACCATTATCATGCACCTTTTGAAACTTTAAATCCAAATGTTGTGGAAAACAGTTGCCTGTTTATAGATTAGCACGTGTGTTGAATTCTATCTAACAGAACAGTGCTTGTGTTAAAGGCATATATCTTATAATTGGTCACAACTTCTCTTTTTAACTACTGTGTTCACTTGGAATTTGAAAATAAATGGTAACTTGTTTGTATTTGTGTAGCACTTCATCAAGTCTAAGGACAACCAAAACACTTTTCGCTACATTTAGTCATTCACACCCATTCATACACTAATGGGAGTGTAGTTACAGCTGTGCAGCCAGGCCCTCCGACAACCATCAGCAGGCAATAGAGGTGAAGGGTTTTGCCCCCCAAGTACATAATGACTGAGACTGGCTGAGCTGGGGTTTGAATCAGTGACCAGCTGGCTATGCCACTCTTTGGTTAAACACATAGGGCCGGATTTATCAAGATCCAATTTTGCGTGCAGTAATTTGCGCTCGCAAACTGGAATTTTACGCAAGGGGCTGAACCATGGTTTGCGGGTGATTTAACAAGAGCGATTGCGTAACTGGTGGCAGGTGCAAAACTGTTGGAGACGCCCTATTTAAATGATGATTTTGCGCGTTTTGTGGTTTGCGGCAAAGTAGTTTGTAGTTTCTACAAGATTCAAGATTCAAGAGACTTTATTGTCATTCACATCACGTGTTACATGAGGTAGAACGAAATTGAAGTTACATGAGGTAGAACGAATTGAGAGATCAGTGACCAGCTGGCTATGCCACTCTTTGGTTAAACACATAGGGCCGGATTTATCAAGATCCAATTTTGCGTGCAGTAATTTGCGCTCGCAAACTGGAATTTTACGCAAGGGGCTGAACCATGGTTTGCGGGTGATTTAACAAGAGCGATTGCGTAACTGGTGGCAGGTGCAAAACTGTTGGAGACGCCCTATTTAAATGATGATTTTGCGCGTTTTGTGGTTTGCGGCAAAGTAGTTTGTAGTTTCTACAAGATTCAAGATTCAAGAGACTTTATTGTCATTCACATCACGTGTTACATGAGGTAGAACGAAATTGAGAGTCACGGCCCCAGTTACATCCGAATATAAAAAATAAATTATAAAAACTAGCTACAAGATCAAATTATATAAATAGAAAAAAAATATTTACAGATATATAAAAACAAGAAGTAGAAAATAAAATGTATATTAATAGGAATGTACAGGATGGATGAAGTATAAGTAATGTAGCAGCGTGGGAAGATATAAACTATATACAAGCTAGTGCATTAAGAAATTTAAATCTTACAGTGATATATAAAGAAAAAACTTTGTGGCAATCTTTATTCCCTAAGGTGGTATGTGGCTGAATTTCTACTTCACTGCAGTAAAAAAAAAAAAACAACAAGAACCAGGTGTTTTGTATTGGCCTGTAGAAAAATGGACATACCAAATGGCTCACAAGAAGTGACTGTGGATGAGATTACGCATCCCCGCAGCATTGGCATGTTGCTCCACAGTCGCAGGGGGAGAACCCCGACCCCGTTGGACAGCACTTCGGACAGCACTTCTGAAAAACGAGATTGGGAGATCCCAGCTCTCGCTGCAACCGTACGCTGGAATGACCCAGATGCAAAAAAGTGCAACGTTGCAAGGAGTTTTGTGATATCTGGTATTGCGTTGGTCCTCCTTGTGGCTGGCTCCAAATCCATTCGGAGTTCCCCCAACAGCTCCAAAATGGCAATGCAGGATAAACGATATGTTTTGATGATCGTTTCCTCGTTCATTCCAAAAATATTCACACGGAGTGAAAAAATGCGTTCTCTGTGTCTCCTTGCTTCATTTCCATGTCTCCTTCTTGCGACAATAACCGCTGCCATGTGTGCGCAATTACGCATACAGACCATTTGCACCTTCTTTTGAAACGTGTTAAATATAGAGTCAGATACCGTTAGCAAAATTGTTTTTAGGTTTGATAAATCACTTTGCGAGTGCTAAATTAATATATTTACATGTTCTCCTCCCACAAGACGCACTTTTGCGTGTAAACGCCCCATATTGCATATTCATTGCAGAAAAAGTACTAAATGGATAAGAGGCGCTATTTAGCACGTTTTAAAGACCAAATCCTTTTAGCACGCTATTGATAGATCAGTTTGTAAATTTTTTAGCGTGCGCAGTGAAATAGCTCACGTTTTTATACTCGCAAACCTTTGATAGATCAGGCCCATTATCTATCTATATCCTGCTTAGATTTTTGTCCATTGCTTCTTGTAGACAGAAACAGACTACTCCTCTCAACTGTTTGTTGAGTGAAAATATTCCTTTTTTTGTTTGTTCTTTTCCAGAAAACATAAATAGAAATTCAAAGCTGCTGATATATACAACCTATCCCGAAAAACTGTTGGATAGCCACAAAAGATTTACGTGTGGTTAACTGACCATCACTGAAACCATTCCAAACTTTGCCAACTAGAAATTGATGTATTTCTTTAATGTTTCCGTCTCTCTGTTGAACTTATAGCTTAAATAAAGGAATCATGGTTATTAAACAGGTGGACTCAAACATCGAACCTGTTAATTTTGTAGCAAATATAGACATACATTTAGGATGACAGTCATCAGAAATGATAAGAATGAATAATCCAGTGGTACTTCATGGGAAATAAGGTTATAAATCATAATTTTAATATGTGATTGTTTTTTTTTTAATTTGTTTCTGTGATTTACTTTAGTTTCATTCACAGCAAAACAGATCTGGGATCACCTTCACATCGGAACATAGACAATTAGCAGGTATTTTAATGGTCTCTGGAACATGGTGTGCTCCTCATCACCTGAAGGGGTGTAAGAGTTCCCTGACTGTACATGACACAAAAGCTCAGTGCTAAGATAATGGTGGTTCAACACCAAGGTGGCCACACATGAGTGAGGCATGTAGCAGCAGGAGCCATTTATCCCTCTCAGGTGACCAATGAAGACTTATGTTAATTTGTCATCCTTGAGAATTTGGAGGACAAGTGGCCATCTGTTGTAATTTGATATAATACACTTTAGATTTATAACAGCTTATCACTTCTCTGTCTGCGGTCAAAAGGATCTTACGGAGCATCTCAATCAACCAATCCACACCCTTTACTGCAATGTCACAGCGACAAGATCATTCCTCATTTTCTCCCTCACAGAGATTGGCATACAGAGCTTCACGTGGAACAGGATCTGCACTGTGATGAAGCACTCCCCTCCTAATTGGATATTTGCCACAGTTAAAATGTAACATTTAAATTATCCTAACTTCAAGGAAACAATACATTTTGGGTTAAATAGGCAGAGAAAGAAGAGAATAAAGTGTAGGTATTAACTACTATAACTTTAATTATAACATTAAGTTTGAGTCCAAAAACTAACTGTTACTTTCCAAGATTTCTGCTCATAGTGATCAGCAAAACAATCAGATGTTAGATGTTTTAAATGCATGATTTCTTCTCATTATACTATTTATAGAACCCCTGGTACTGGCTTATCCACAGAGAGACTGGAACTGAGGGTCGAGGTCCACAAACCTTCCATAACATGAAAACTCACTAATCTGAGCTGGCTGGACAGTGGTGTCATCAGCTGTACTTCCCATATTTCTAGCTGCTGCTGCAACACTGACTGCATGGCGTGTGGCTACTCAGTCCTAATATGGAAAATATCCCCAGTGACATATTGTGTTGAGCAACCTGCAGCGGTCTTAGCAATGATATGCAGTGGGGCAACAAGGATGCTATGTTTTATGGTCAAGTAAACTGACCATTGGTAAGTTTGGCTTGACAGACCAGCCATTTCTCCTGCCTCAAAATTATTGCACTCTCACTCTGCTGGCAGGAGTGTAGGTGTTCAGTGCGAAGGTATTGAGAATATTCAATACTCAATAAGGTATTGAGAAATTGAGAATATAACTTTTGTAAGTTTTAAACTTTTTTTTAAATAAATACTTAAAAATAATGTTAGGATAATTATCTTTAATGATGTGTGAGAGGAACGACTTAATTAATCAGATTAACTATTGTGGAAAACCGGTTCTGACAAGCAACAGGCAGCCAATACCAAGGTGTAATAAACTCACATCACATCATCAATGATAATTAGCCTAACAATATTTAAAATCTGACGTTTCAGCCCTAAAACTTGACTTGACAGTTACTTGTCTTGACTTTAGATTCAACTCTGACTTGAATTTCTTTGACTGAAACTTGGGACTCAGTATTTAAGGATAAAAATTAAGAGTTGAGAGCTCGCACACCTTAACAAGAGAACAATCCTGTATCTATCAAAATACTTTTCTACTGACTTCAGGACCTACATTAAAAAGGTTTCTCATGCATATATGCCAATAAGAATGTAAGGCCCTGTCCACACGAAGTCAAAACGAACACGAAACGCTAATATTTTCCAGAACGTTTGTCGTAAAGACGGAGACGTAAAATAAATGTGATCGTCCACACGAATGCATGAAAACGCTGCAAAATGTATACCAGGCCTATAAGTGGCGCTGTGGTGCCAAAGCAAAAATAGGCGACGAAATGTTGGGCATGCGCACTAATATTTATACATGGTTGCCCTGCGGGTCCATTTTCATGGTTTAGTCAAATTCAGGTGCTGAACTATGTCGTCGATATTGCTCTGTTCTTCCTGGAGATATTCCAGAAGAAGAAGATTCTGTTGTAAGCTCGACAGCAGGGTGAGTAGCATGAGCAGCAACCATTCAACACAGTACGGCGCCATTGTTGTTGTGATACTGTGTCGCGCATGCGTGTTTAGAGGCGACGCTATGACGCATGCGTGTAAAAAAAAAATGCGGTTAGAGCTTAAAGATGGAAACGCGAAAACGGCGTTTCAAAATCTTCCCACTCTGAAGGCTGAATAAAAAAAAGATTGTTTACAGACCCCCGAAACGCCGGCTTCGTATGGATGAGAGGCTGGTTTGGTGAAAAATTTGTGCGTTTTACGCCAGGGGTTGGCTAAATGTGTTTGAAAACCCGGTTTTCACTGCCTGTTACACTCAGTCAGGGTAAAAGCCTCATTCAATTTCATTTTGAAAACTTATAAAATACACAGGTCCTTTATTTAGATTTAGTAAGTAGTCAGATTTCCCAGTTTTTCCCAATTTAAATGATTTATAATTTCTAATTTCCCCAGTTAGTTACTAATTAAGTTTAAATGAGCATTAAATGTGAACTCTCTGACTTCTAATGTGTGTTTTAATGGTTTCACATTTGGTTTGATTGACTAGAGAAATACAATTCTCTTATAAGGAAAATCAAATTATAACATAATAAAGCCTGTAAAAGTAAAATAGGTCTTCATATTTTGTGAACATCTAAGCTTTTATGTAGGTGTAGAGCTTTGTGAGTCAGTGAGCAATTTTAAGGCTTTGTGCCTTAAATGTCATCATCAGATGGTGTGACTTGAGGTCTGTGCTCTCATCCATTTTGTTTTAATGCCTGACTTCTCTGCTGATTTGGCACTTGAACTTCAAATCAATTTTTCTACAACTGATGAGAGCTTGCTTTTACTGTTGAAACATTAACACTTTAATTTTTTCATCATTTATTTGTTTCTTAGAAATATAAGTTTCATAAATGCATTTAAAAATAAATTATCCGGATCACCTCTTGTAAATTCAGGAAGCACCACCAGCAACCCCAGAGTATAGAGGATGTAATCTGCTCAGGGAATATTAATAAACATCTTAAGGGAGAGCTGAAGCCTTCTTGTGATTTGCATTCAACAACATGTTTCAGATTTTTGTAGACTGTGTGGTGGTATAAAAGAAAATGTTATTTTATATCTCAGACAAAAAATGTTTTCGTTGCATTGGGAGCTTTATATTAGGACATTTCTCCACTCCTAAAATATTTTGTTTTTTGTGAACCTGCTGATCTTTGTTTAAGACTGTCTAGACAGGGTCCTGTGAGACATGCTTGTTTGTTTTCTATAAGAGTGGTATAAAAAGCACATGCTTTTCTGTATTTTCACAGCAAGACTTCTTTGAACGGCTGTATGTCATGTATACCACCGGCTATGCTGTGTCCTTCAGCTCTCTGCTAGTGGCCATCGTGATCATTGGATACTTCAGGTAAGGGAAGACTTGTTGTTCATATTTTTTTTGTGTGCAAAAGAAGTATGTTAATCTCAAAAATGCTATTGGATGCATACAATCTTAGGCTACGTTCACACTGCAGCCTGAAGTGACCCAATTCCGATTTTTTTGCCCATATGTGACCTGTATCTGATCTTTTTATGACAGTCTGAACGACACAGATCGGATTTTTTCAAATGCGACCCAGGCCACTTGGATATGTGGTCCTGAATCCGATACGTATCTGATCTTTTCAAATGCGACCTGTGTCTGTACGGCCAGGTCGCATTCATCCGACCTACACGTCATTGATACTTGACAAATGTTACTAAACGTTACTAATCTGCGTCCTACTAAGCGGAGGTGGGAAAAACTAACAACCATGGCGGAAGATAACACAGAGAGCAGTCAATAGAGAGCTCAGTGAGAGCTCTGTACGGACGTTGCTATTACTGCCCCACAAAACGCCATTGCAAGAAATCTGGCTCTCTTTCTTTTTGATCTTCTTAAAAAGATTTCATTCGTAATGTGCCTGCTCCTGTTGGAGAAGAACTTAAAGAACGCAATATACGCTGCGGTATTACGAGTCATGTTTACTTCCGCAAACACTGAGGACGCTTGCTACATGTGACGTCATCGCGTCCTCGAGTGCGCATGCGGGACACTTCGGTTGAACGCTTTCAGTTCACACAGTAGATCACATACAAGTCGCATATACTTGGAAGTGTGAACGGACATGCAAAAAAATCCGATTTCACAAAAAAATCGGAATTGAGCATTAAGGCCTGCAGTGTGAACGTAGCCTTAGTTTTGGTGTAATAAGAAATCTAGTTTGTCGCACAGACTATATACAGTAACTATGGATAAAGATATTTGTGAAAAATAGCCAGTTTGAGGACTTTGGATACAATCACGTATTGCAAAACAGCTCTTCACTAAAAAAATGGCCAACAGCTTTGAAAAGCTGTTGAAAACAGACGGAAAAAAAAGATGTGGGTTTACTCAAAGCTCTTAGACGTCTGAGCCAACTGGTTGAAATAAAAGCAGGTGAAAAAAATGTATAAATTGCCTGACATTTGAAACCTTTTGGGATTTGAAACTGTCAGTTCTTTTTTTTTTAACCGTGTGCCCCACTTGTTCTTAGCAGATAAATGTACTGTAGCCTTGCTTTAAAATCCAGTGAGAAGTCCTCCATCAATTTTAAAATCGTCTCCAAAGGTGGAGTATTTGAACAATGCCACAAGGGTGGGAAGTGAGACCGCTGGATTGGATCAAAGTGCCGTGTATTCCTGAATTCATACTTTTCCTCTATGTAGTGTTGATCATTTTCTCCTTAAACATCCTGACCGAGTCCAGTATACATTTCAAATTTTAATGATTCCACTTTTCCCAATGTAACCCTTTAATTCCTTCATAAAAAAAACCTCTTGATTTTAAACTTCAATGGAGTCTTCCGAAGCTTTAAGCAAGCTGTAGAAATCAAGGAGCTCTTCAAGCAATCCCAAGGACAAAGCTGTGAAGCACGACGGGATTAAGTATGGTTATAAAAAAATGTCTTCCGGCAATATTAAATCTGCCTTTTGAATAGAGTTAGCACCACAACTGGAGAAATAAAATATATATAGTTGGGAATGGAATAAATAATTTACTGTCAGCTAATTCAGTAATGAAATAATCAATAGCTGGAAAATACTTACCCCTAAAACAGGATATTAGCTATAAAAAAAAAACTAAAAGGAGTAATAAAGGGCAAAAATTGTACAAAAATTACATGCATCCGCATTTACAAAAAACTATTTTAACTTTGAATTCCTTTTATCCAAAACTCCATCAGTTGCATAATTTAGCTTTACTCAATTCAAATGCTGTAAAGGATCTCATTTAAGAACCTTTTGTTGTGTGTTTTTTTAATAGATTGTTTAAAGAAATTGTCAACATATTATTAAAATAATAGTTAAACATGTATTCCAGGACATATTTCATTACAATAATTTAAACATGTGTTTGAACCATTTGTTCAGTGATTAAGCAGATCAATTGTTTAAGTTAATTGGTCGATACAGTCAGCTGGTTTTCCTTATATAGAAACCCTGGAGCCAATCTGACTGTATGACTTGATGGAATTGTAGCTGTCAAGTGCTTTGAAATGACATGGTCTGAATTGGCGCTATAAAGATAAACTGGACTGAAGTAAAGCAAGATTTAACTGTATATTTGTAGGTTTTCTTCATGTCAAAAAAACAACTCCTAAATTAACAGATGGAGGATTTTTCTTTATCTGCAGTTCAAAAAAGCAAATGTATACATGTCGTATCTGCTAAATAATGATGTGGAAACACAGTCGGGGTGACTTGACTTTTCTTTTTTTTTTGGCAATAAAAAAAGGTCAGTAAGTATTTCGTCTGTATCCATTCCACAAATACTAGGTGCGTTTCAGTTGAGCTAGACCTACGTAGATCTGATCGGTGTTGGTCTGTGCACGGTGTACGCTGGTTAGACTTGATCCAGTCTGCATCTCATGTCTGGAATACGTGAGCAACCAATACCTCAATAGATCAGAACAAGATCAGCCACTACCCTTGATCAAACCAACAGTGGTGGCCATGGACAAATTTTGATTTCAGAAATTGGGGGAGGAAACAAGAATTTTTTAATATAACTAACTTCAGGGTGTTTAACCATCCAATCACAGACCCGATTCAGTGATGGTCGGCCAATCAGGAGCTTGTAGATGGTCTAAACTCAGGTGAGCGGGCTTCAACTTGAGCTTGGTTTTCCGTTTGGTCTTAGTGCTTAACAAATGTGTGTGTGCTGTTGTATAAGTTTGTTTTTGGACCGTAAAACGTGCAGGGGACCAAAAAAAAGTGAAGAGAACATGTCCCCCTATTCCCCCCCAAAATTACGTCCATGGTGGTGGCTGCAATGCATGGTGAATGATGGCAAAACGCCCTCCTGTCACTGGGTAACGGACTGTTGATTAGGCGTGTAAATAAAACGACCCCTACATATCCTCCCAACCCTTTCAATTTGTCTGTTTTTTTATTTTAAATATGCATACTTTCCTAAAACTTGAACAATTACTCAGTAGCATATTTCCAAGTATTTGTTTATGTACATGTTTGTACTTGCCTTATTGGCAAGACTCGAAGTTGCCTTATTGAACCAGTTGGCTTAGTCTTGCCTTATTATTCAATATCTTTGTGTTTTTACATATAGCCTCATTAACTGGCTTATTGCTGATTTTGCATATTAAAACAATTAATACATTGGATTCGTAGATATAACACAACTTACTGTGAGACTCTTCATCAATACAGTACATTTGACTCCAAAGGAAAGTTTATTCCATATTTGTTCTATTATGTATATTTCATCAATAAGCGATGCCAGCTCTGACCAGTTCACAACAGACTTTTAACACAGCCTATCAGCACAGCCGTAAACAGACGAGCCGCTTTTCATCTCAAATGCACCTATTGTTGCAGTGCATTGTACGACATGTAGTGTGAGTATCATGCACACTAAACCAGGTTTCAGTTCCTAAATGATAGTAGTCCTGCAGCTATTCAACAGTGTTGAAAGTTTTTATTCTGACAGTTTTTCTTTTCAGTTATTCCATTGATCTATTAATAGACACTATCTCTAAATTCACATGCCTCCATAAACACGATTCAACTCAGGAAAAGAAGAAAAGTGTTTTTGCACATTTTACTTGCATTGTAAATGTTTAAAATGTAAACTCATAGGTGGTCAGAAATGCAACTTAAATTTTCAGCATAGAAAGATTTGTTTTTGTTTGACATAAATACCAAATGGGTCTACAGTTTGTACAGTTATGGCATTTTCAATGCTCTTAGTTGGTTGCTCTTTTAGCTACTGGTATATTTTGGAGTTTTTCTACTCCAGATATAAGTTAGTTGTTTACCAAATTAGTTGATTATAAAAAAAAAAAATCAATGGATTAAGATTAATTTAGATTTAGTTGATAAATAGTTTCAGACCGAAATGATATTGTGTTGGGAACCAAATACATTGTGTAAGCTATTAATTCTGGCGTGCATATTACTGGAAGCCAGGGAAATGTATTGGTAAAAGTAAAAGAGTACCTACTTTAGACCAAAACCTCCTATGTGCATGAATGATTAAACCATACATACAATCATAGAACAAAAACATGGCTGAAACTATTACATATTAGTACTTACTAAAGCAATAAAATGCTAACCTTGTTCAATTATTTTGCTTAGATACTGTATGTTTTAAAGTTTTTTAAATGGTTAGAATTCCTATTTTAATTTGTTGCACAATTTTACGCACAAAGAAAATTTACCTCCGCTTGTCTGATTTATATCGTTAACTTTAACTAGCATTCAAAAATATGGATCACACTATAGGCACACCCACCTTACAACTTGTATATTTCTGTAAAATGGGTGAATTATTCTCTGCATATACTAAATTATTCAGCTGTCTAAGTTCCAATAAAGATAGCAACTCTATGAGAATCCATGTGCTTCAGACATATGGACATCCTCTAAAGCTTTTCTTAAGCAGGAGTTTATTGATCTGTTTTTATTTATTTGGTTGTTTATCATTTTTGATCCCCAGATAGAAAGTGCTGCTGCTCAAGCCTTGAACATCTTAGACTCCTACTGTACATTAAAACAGAACACAAGCACTTTGAATAGAGATGTTTAAAGCTAATAAATGGCCTCAGAAAAGAAAAAAAAATTTTTTAGTGCTAGAATGCACAACTGTCAGGTGTCCTCTTCGCTTGGATCAATACTTAACCACAAATAGCACCCGTAAATGTAAAAGCAGATTAAAGTGAAAACAACATCAACATTTTGGTGTATAATGTGGCAGGCAGGCTGAAGCCAGAACAGTGCAAGAAGAGTAAACCAGTCGTCACACAACTCCGTCCCTATACAGGCGGGTTAATTTGAATTTTTTTTCTTTGCAATGGTAAAGAGGTTTTTGACTTTGTTAATCTTGCA